AGTCAGGGAAGTTTATAATTATGTGTGGGTGTCAGCAAAAATAAAAGTTTCAACGTGTGAATGGTACTGCAACAGGACTACGTATGACTATGTATCTTTTACTGCTATCATTTCGTCATACGGTCGCGATGAAGTTATATATAAGTTATAGATTGACAAAGTTAATCTGAGTTGTGTTTATAATTGACTCGAGCTCATGGTAAACATGTGTGCACAGTGTGATATAAAGTCGTAGGAATTATTGTCTTCGTAAATTCATATTGGCTGAACTTTTGTGTCAAAGCTGATGATTTTCAGAAGCTTAGACGTGACAAGAGCATCTTGATTGAATTTTCTTAACATTGGGCCGCAGCAAGTAATTTTTATGAATAACATCAACGCGCATTAGATTTAGGGTCTCCAAAGGACGTCATCCATAAAATTTACTTGCTGTTGCCTTACGAGCGATAAGGCCACACCAAGTAAATTTTATGGATGACGTCCTTTGGAGACCCTAAATCTAATGCGAGAGGGCGAGAAAAAAACAAGAAGGGCCCTAAAAAACAAGATGCCTAGATTAGAAATATACTAAGAGACGACAAATGTTAGGACACAAAATGAATGAGGTAACACAGTGTAACAAGCAAGAAGTCTTTTATTCATCATCAAAACAGCAATAAATCAGGTGGAACAGCAGTTGTCGTCCTGTCCTGTTTTCGCGTTACGGGCTTCACGTCAATCTGACGATTTGCGGCACTGACGTGACTCTTTGGTCATAGTTACAGGAAGTGGAATTTCTTGTTTTTGTCTAGGAACAGGCCAAAATCAATGCGCGCGTGGACGTCATCCATAAAATTTACTTGGTGTGGCCTAATGAACACGTCTCGACTGAAGCGGGAAGCCACACGGGAGGTCAACATGCAATTACTGTTTTGTATAAAACCATGTCTAACCTGTTTGGGCACTTGTGGTGAGGTTATTGAACTACAAACTGTTACATCTAACCTGGGAGGGGAAATGGCATGTTGCCCCCGTATATATATTATCATTTCACACAGAAAAAGACTCAAAGAAACTCAAATCAAAAGTAGTTTAAACTTTAATGTCTTTATTGCTTCAAATCTAAGTATTTGTGCCATCATGACATTGCACATCTTTGTCTTAAGTTGGTTATAATTCATCTATCCTGTGTCGTGTCTCTACGTTACCTACATCGTATTTGATACCTTGAACTTTCATTGCACTTGATAACATATCGAGCACCATATGAATTCTATAGTCACTGTGTCTATTTCCAATGATAAACAATATATTATCATCTTGTTTGTCTCAATGACCAAATATACACATAGATAGGAGTATGTATGTTTGAGCAACTACTAGTACTAGTACCTGGCTGTACATGGCTGGATAGCTGATAGCAGCAACTAAGACATTGTAGTACAGTGGGTATTCAGGATGTGCACTTTCCCGTTTTGGATAGTGTGTCTATCTACCACACTGTCTTTTCCTGTGCGTTTAAAAGATGTGCACATGTCACATATGTACAGTCATATTGCAACACAAACAACAAGGGAAGCCGTCACTTAATACATGCAGTCCCTGCACGCAATGCAGTTACACGTACCTCTATGATTTGAGAGCTCCTGCCCCCTCAAACAAAGACAACTAAAAACTTTGATCACAATGGCTTTTAAAGAAGACCTATGCAGTGCCCTGCACTGATAGATCTACGGATTTTCTGATATTATCTACATATACATATTAACGTATTGCAACCATTGTTACCTCTAGGGGGTGCACATACCCCCATGGTTGACATTCAGCAACCAGTCATGGCTTGTCCCTAGACTACTAGAGTATACTCTCTACGTAAACAGTTTATACTGTGGGTTTATTTTCTTCAGTGAATCCTGGAATGACTTGTGTGCTTAAGACTTACCCTGTCTCTACTTCACTACTTACGGTTTATATACTGATATTCTACTGAGGTATCCACTCCTACATTCCCGACTCATTGCTTATATAAGGGTTACTTCAGTTTTCCGGCGTCTACTTAACTACGGGAAGATCTCTGATCCCTAACTCGAGCTCTATCTACGTTTGTGCGTATAAAAACAGACGGCAGGTGAGTTATGCGTGAAGTGATCGACGTCGCTAATTACCGTCTCGTAAACGGTCGTCGCCTTTTGAAACGGTCTATGCCATATTGTTGGCTAACTTTAAGTGTATCAGCAAGGTCCATCCACACCGTGATGTTTCGTGGTGTATAGGGTTAGGGGTTAAGTTTAGGGTTTTAGAGCTACACTTCTTGAATCGGGTTCGAATCAAAGCTTGTGCTTTTTTTTCACAAAGACCTTTACTATTTTTCATGATTCTCGAATCCAAGCTTGTGCTTTTTTTTCGCAAATACCTTAACTATTTTTCATCATTCTCCCTTACATTTGCAATTCGAATGTTGCATTTTATAGTACATATTATGGACCTCAAAAAAATGATGATACGCTCGGATATGGCATCGGAAAGCATCTGAAAGGCGACGACCGTTTGCGAGACGGAAATTTGCATCGACGTCACACAAACCACTGCCGTCGTCATGCTTAAAAAATCCGCCCTTTTTTAGGACATCAGTTACTCTCCAAGCAGAGGTTGATGGGGGAAGATCGTTACCTTTTTATATATGACCCGTTTTTTTAAACAATAGTTAGTGCTTATAAACCTACATTTCTCCTGCAGTCTCTTAGTGTCACTGACGAAAGGTAATGGATGCTACCTGAAACGTCTGACCGTTTCCAAAATCATATCCAGTTGCTTGAGTAACTGTTTTTTTTTGCGTACCTTATTACCTGGATGTCTAACCTTCACAAACGTAACGCGCACGGGGCATATATAAAAAGTAACGATCTTCCCCCGTCAACCTCTGCTTGGAGTGTAGATATCAGTCCCAATAAACCGGTGCGATTTTTCTAGACGTTTCTCTGACATCGCGTGACTCGCTAACTGCTCGCACCTGGGCGCTTGTTAACCTAAAAGTTCCCTAAATAGTCGGTCCATTCAATATGAATGAGAGGACATTTTACGGCCGCACATGAGACCATGCATCATGTATGTACATGTCGCAGCAGTGCTAGCCTCCTGGGCAGGCCTCCGGGCGGGGGGGGGGGCAGCTTTGACACATTTTTAACGCGTTCTTTTGTCGCAATGGCCAAGTGGGTAGAGTGCTCGCCTTGCATTCGGTAGGTCGTGAGTTCGATCCCCGGCCGAGTCATACCAAAGATGGTACATACTGCTTTCTCTGCTTATAGCACTCAGCACTCAGCATTTGGGAAAGAGTAACGTTAAACACACACACACCACTACCAGCGGACTGTAGTGACTGCTGTAGTGACTGCTGTGTGTGGCCCAGGGCTATTTTGAAACGGAGATGGGCGCCGCCCTATGCGTCACTTGACGCGGGAAGGCTCTTTATCTTTCAACTCTTTCTTTTGCCGGCCATCCTACAACCAGCCGCCCAGAGAAGGTTTGTTGTAGGATGGTCGGCAAAAGAACGCGTTAAAAATTCAACAAAACGCAGTAGCAAAACTCCCACCCTTCCGGAGGCCTGCACAGGAGGCTACATCCGTGTATTCCCTTTTCACAGTCTAATGTGATAATGTGTGATAAAACTGAATGGAGAGACAATCAATGCACGGGTGAGACATTCTAAAAATATCACATAATGGCCATCTCCAAGCAGATTCATTCATTTATGATATCTTAATAACTTAACTATGTTTTCTTGTTACCTGGACATTGTTTTTGTATTGTGCTGTAATTTGTTTTTAATGTGTAGTGGTGACGTACATATAAGCTTGAGAGCGTCACGTATTGTATTGTTTGCACGTTAAAAAAAAAGATTCATTCGGGGGCCCCGAGTTGATGTACAAATAGGGTGGCGTATTGTCTGGCGAATTTGATACGGTCTTGGTAATTTGATACTGTGTTGCCAATTTGATATGGTCTTGCCAATTTGATACTGTATTGCACCAAAAGATCTGCTTGGAGATTTAACATGATTATAATATACAGACATTGCACGAAAACCTTACTAGTCAATACTAATACACTTCTCCAAGCAGATACATTCGGGGGCACCCGAGTTACTCGTATCAATAGGGTGGCGTATAAAATACTAGTACTGTGTTGCCAATTGAATTTGATACTGTGTTGCCAATTTGATACTGTATTTCCAATTTGATACTACTGTATTGTCAATTTGATACTGTATTGCAACCACCAAAAGATTTTTTTTTAATTCCAGCATTTTATGACTAGACACGGTGACGGCACACTCAAATTTAATCAATTTATTGTATGCCGCTATTAACGCAGCGGACGAATTTAGGACAGGACAATATTCATTTTCATCTGAGTGAAGATCACCAAAAGATCTGCTTGGAGATTAACATGATAATATAATACACAGACATTGCACAAAAACCTTACTAGTCAATACTAATGCACTTCTCCAAGCAGATTTATCCGGGCACCCGAGTTACTCGTATCCATGGGGTGGCGTATAGGATACTGCCTGGCCGATTTGATACTGTATTGTCAATTTGATACTGTTATGACAAAAACTTCTAAACGTTATTGCCAACACCGAGTAAATTGGGACTTACCAACACAGATGAACGTTCATGCTAAAATTTGATACAGTGTTCCCAATTTGATACTGTATTCCCAATTTGATACTGTGTTCCCAATTTGATACTGTATTCCCAATTTGATACTGTATTCCCAATTTGATACCGTATTCCCAATTTGATACTAGTATTCCCAATTTGATACTAGTATTCCCAATTTGATACTGTATTCCCAATTTGATACTGTGTTCCCAATTTGATACTGTATTCCCAATTTGATACTGTATTCCCAATTTGATACTGTATTCCCAATTTGATACTGTATTCCCAATTTTATACTGTATTGTGGCCACCAAAGATCTGCTTGGAGATTAATACAATATTGCACAAAAAGCCTTACTAGTCAATACTAACGCACTTCTCCTTCCTTACACGCAGACTTAAGAGATAACTCGCCATGACGTCCTGATACAGACCCAGTATGAGCCAGCCAGGCGCGTACTCCAGAGTGATCAGCCCCATCACGTTGAAGCGGTAGTGGCTATAGTCCCACGAGCAGGCCCCGAATTGTCGCAGGATCAGTCCGGCCACAAACTCCCACGTATACGCGATGACGAGGTACAGGGCCACGCGGTATCTGGTGGGAACGCCACACTGGAGGTACAGGTACACGTAGCCTAGCCGCTCGACCATGATGCGGCAGCTGCCGTAGATGAGAAAGGACCAGATGGAGGTGTAACCGGTCAGCCGCGCGTCGGGGGCCTTGGTGACGCAATCGTACAGCATGGTGAAGACTACCTCGTCCAGGAAGCCGTGCATGCCGTAGAAACAGAAGCGTATCCACGGAGGCAAGGGCTCCTCGCCGGCCGCTAGTTTATTCACATCGCTGCTCTCTATTATCGATTTGTCCGCGCTGCTTTTAGTACTACCTGCTTCACCGCCCACTGTCGGCCCCGGCTTCTTTTGTATGCACAGGAGGTAGCGGAAAAGATGATCCTGATACAGGCCCAGCATATACCAGAGGGGAAGGTATTCCAGCGTCACCAGGCCCAGGAAGTGGTAGCGGTAGTCGCTATAGTCCCAGGGACAGGCGTTGAATGTCCGCAGCAGCAGCCCGGATAGGAGTTCCCAAGCGTAGACGGCGGGGACGTAGCAGCAAGCCCGTAGGTACACCGGGATGTTGCGGCGCCGGGTGTACAGCTCGGCAAAGATCTTCTCCGTGACGAAGGTGCCGCACAGCCCGTAGCTGATGAACATCCAGAGAGACGTGGTGCCGTAGAGGCGAAGCCCGCCCGTGGTGACCAGGTTGAAGAGAGCGGTGAACACCACCTCGTTCAGCACGCCGTGCGCCCCGTAGAAGTACGCCCGGCTCCATAGCGGCAGCGGGAATTTCAGCTCGGCGGCCCACTTTCGCACCATGTTCCCCTCTCAATCAGGTATCCCTGACTGTTCACAGAACTATTAAAGGGAATACAAGGTGTCCTGCTTACTTGGGCATACCGTACAGTGATCAGAAATACTCCACAAAATCCCAGGCTTTTGTATTAAGAGCTAGAGGCGGCTATACCGGGAGTGTTCACCGGTGGTCGGATCGACACACTGAGCGGCGAATAAAATTACCTCCGCAGACCAGCTGAGCCCCCGCAAAGTTGATGCTTTGCCGGCGTTTTCATCACAGGTCATTGGTTCCGCGGATATGGGTAAAAACTCGCCAGGCCGGCTCATCAACTCGTATTAGGCTTTACTGGGAAAAGGGGGCGGGTTAAAGAAAAATTTTATTTATGTCTCACCTTAATTGTTAGCTGACACGAAATAAGTCGGTCACCTTATTTGTCGTCACACGATAGGTGATTGATTATTTCCCACGTTTTCAATAGACACACATTAACGTGGGAACATATACAAACCGTTTACCACCCCACAAAAATGGAATCGCCCGATCAATCAAAGCCTCAAACACCCCCATTTTGTTCGAATGGAATGTCCCGAAACAGGTGTCATAGGTTGTCCGCGCGTGGCATTGTGGGTGATAGAGAGTCAGGTGTAATGGCGGCGCCCATGAGGAAAAAATCGTCTGAAATTCTGGCTGACTTGTTTTCATCATAACGCACGATTTCAGCGGAATTTCTATCTTGTTAACTGCATTTTGCACACTTAACAGAATTCCTGAGTAGATCTGCTTTGTCTGTGTGCTCTGACTCAAGTGGAACGGTGGTGTTTTACGAAAAACGCGGGAAAAAAACTGCGTTTCCATAACAACAGAAATCGCCAGAGGAACATCATCTGCCGTATCTTTGGAGTACTTTACAGCATTTCTGAGTAAGTCGTCATTGTCTGTGTGCTCTGACTCCAGTAGGTCAGCGTTATTTTTTCTCAAAAACGCGGGAAAAAGCTGCGTTTCCTTGACAACAGAAATCGCGAGAGGAACATCATCTGTCTGCCGTACGTATCTTTGGAATAATATAAGTCACCAAGTATCAAATAACTAGAGAGGCAAATTATTGACTCTGCACTGAACCACGCCTAAACGTGCGATATTTAGACGTTAAACAAGGACAACAACATCTGTATGTACTCTGACTCAACTGGACTGCGTTATATTTTCCGTAAAAACGCGGGGGGAAATCTGTCTGCCGTACGTATCTCTGGAATAATATAATATAAGACACCAATTGTGAAGTATCTAGAGGGGCAATTGACTCTGCACGGAATCACGCCTAAACCAGCACCAACAGACCACGTCTAGCGGCATTTCTCACCTTGTATTTCTCACCTTATTTAGACGTTAAACAAGGACAACAACAACATAATATCGCGATGGCGTCTCCCGACAAGGCGTTAGAGATCCAGATGCAGGTTCGGCAGAACGCGTCGGAGATGCAGGACTTCCTGAAGGATCTGGACGACTGGGAAGACGATATCAAGAAGAAAGACGAACAACTGAAGACACAACAAGGAGGGCATGAACCGGTAAGTTGTGGTAGAGGTGCTAGTGTCACGGAAATGAAAAGGAGTATTATAAACGTTAGAGTAGATGTCTTCGGCCAAGTAGGAGCTTGAGTTCCAGTTTAGACCGCTCTTCCCTTTCAGTCTCAGTGCACAGACATCTCTGGTTTCTGGGGATGATCCAGATCTCTGTAGTCGAACATCAGATTCTTCTCTTTCATATGTGAATCCAGCCTTCCTTAAAAGCATTCACACTAGGTGGGAAACCTACAGTGGGTGTCACTGGAAGACAGATGAAAAATGTCCAGACTATGCATGATGTTTAATGTCGTAATGACTAATATTAAAACTGGTGGACGTACTAGCCTGACTAATCACGCTCCTGGCGGCCGGCCGCCTCAAAGTTTGGGTCATTAACCTCCGGCCAAGAGCTTGTGTAACACAGGCTGGTGGACGTACCAACTATTAAAGGGGAGGTCCAATACTTTCAGTTTTGGGGCCTTTCTACCCAAAATCCTATTTGTAAATGGTGATTTACTGGTTTCTGCCAACCCCGCACATATTTGCCGTGATATCTGACCCGCTCGATGTTTCGCGGCTAGCGCCAGATTGTCCGCTAGGCGGCGCTGCGACTGGATCTGTGACGTAAAAGGTTTCATTCTGCTACTAGCGTAAACAACAATGGCGGGCGTGCAACCCTTCCGTTTTTAGCCACAGACGGACAGTAGTGGTGACTCTGACCCCGATCCAGGCGATGAGAACGTTTGGGATGGAGGTGATGTGGAGACAGAGGGTTGGAGAACCGGGATTGGTGCCGGTGTGGAAACGAAGACAATAGAAACTGCCTGGAAATGCCCTCTGTACGGGAGAGTGTTTGTTGTCACGACCTGCCAGAGCTGACAGACACTGAAAAGAACGTCGGTACAGACCACCCATGCATTAGAAACCACCCTGACTTCGATGTGATTCTGCACCCGGCAAACCTCCGAACGTTGCTGATTTTTCGGTGGGATCTGATCCGGCAGGGCGTGCAGGAGCCTGTATCTAACAGGTCGGTACCGCGAATACCGCAGTTTGTTTACATTGCAACTTACTCGACCCTTTGACGGATTTATTCATATCGACCGCCCATACGCCCAACAGAAAGGAATTGAAACTGACGTTCGCGTGAAGCATCCAGGCTCGAAATGGTCTGAACACACCCGCCAGTGGAAGCTCTTCTTGTGTACTAACTCTGTTCCAATGAAACCTTTTACGTCACAGATCCAGTCGCAGCGCCGCCTAGCGGACAATCTGGCGCTAGCCGCGAAACATCGAGCGAGTCAGATATCACGGCAAATATGTGCGGGGTTGGCAGAAACCAGTAAATCACCATTTACAAATAGGATTTTGGGTAGAAAGGCCCCAAAACTGAAAGTATTGGACCTCCCCTTTAAGTACCTAATACCAGCTCAGAAAAAAAACAAGAAACAGTCATGCCTTCAAATTTTAGAGTTATCAACCAAGAATTGAGGTGGTCAAAAACTCATATTTTCCAAGGACTATCGCAGAGTGGAACACATTGTCACCAAGTACAGTAGAAGCATTATCATTAGGTAGTTTTAAACAATGTCTAGAGTTAGATGTTCAAGGGTTAGGTGTAACAAGTCGTTCGGTGTAACGTAGCCAGCTGAGGTGGTTTTTATTTCTTCTGGAGGTCTTACCACCAATAAGAAACAGAGCCACGGCCAAGAAGAAGAAGAAGAAGGTGAAGACAGAGGAGAAGAAGGAAGAAACAGGTCCAGGTCAGCAGAACGGTCAGCAGAAGAAAAAGAGGATCAGTGGATATGACTACAGGTCATGGGACAAGTTTGATGTGGTAAGTCGTCAGAAAAACAAACAAAGACACACAGACAGTTATATATTATAACATTGTCGGGCTATGGACTTATCCCTGAAGTTATACTCTTCTTCAAAATTATTGTACCATGGTGATTTGGTTAGAAGTTCAGGGTTTGATCCACCCCCTTGCTATACTACTAGATCATAGTAGATGTACATGTATTCCTAGTACTTGTTTGTACAGTACTGATATTTGTACACTAGTGTCATGACTTGTAGGCATTTGGAATGGACATTAAAGAACCCACCATGTCTAAAGAGATCCTCACTACATGTATTTTCTCACATATACATCTACTGGTACATGTAGTTATGTTTGCCTTAAGATTTCAATCAATCAATTAGATTTTCCACAATCAAATAAATTTCCCACAACATTTCTCACAATCTTATACGTACCTTATTCTATAAAAGAACCACCCTGCAGTTCTTTATGAATGGCATTTTTGTAGGACAAGGAACTTGAGAAGCTGGAAGACGAACAGAAGGAGTCATCCTCAGAGTACGAAAGTGAGAGTGACGGTGAGAAGGCCCTGGAGCAGCAGAGACTCTTGCAGCAGGCCCTCATGGAGAAGGACAGGGTAATCTCTAACAAGCAATACCATTGGATGAAAATTCAAACTTTTCTCACCAGTGACATGTGTTAACCAATCCTGAGGGTTGTTTCAAATTTTTAGTCTGATCTACTTACCAGGTATTGATGTATTGGTAGAGGGAATTTAGAAGAAGTTTATATTGTCAACAGCTCAATTGGGTAGAGGAGTGCTCGCTTTGTAACCGCGAGGTCATGAGTTCAAACCCCAACCGGGTCATACCAGAGACTTTGAAAATAGTACATACTGCTTTCTCTGCTTAGCACTCAGCATCTGTTAATAAAGAGTGTGGGAAGGTCAAACACACAACACTACCAGTGTACTAGCCCCCTGCTATAGTGTTTGCACAACTGTGTGGCCCAAGGACTACAGAAATGGAGATGGGCACCACCCCTATGCTCTGCAGGGAGTGGAAAGGGACCTTTTTCTTATCTTGTCACTTTTGTTTGTTTGTAGGGAAATGCTTTCTTTAAGGAAGGGAAGTATGATGAGGCGATGTCCTGCTACACAACAGGAATGGATGCCGACCCTCAGAACGCTGTTCTTCCTGCCAACAGGGCCATGGCTCTGCTCAAGCTCAACAGGTGAACATCTTATTATGTTTACCTTCACATAAGGAAAATATATTGTTATTGCTCTGTTTTCTCTTCTCCAAACAAATAAGGTAAATAACCTGAACCAGACATCTGTCACCATGGTAACTAGTGTTGGGTTACATCATGTTGTAATTTTATAGCAGGAGGGATTTAGACTCCTGTCACCGTGTATGTGAATGTGTTTGAGTAAGAATTGTGGATTCTTTGAAGTGTGATGTCAACACTGGGTCAAAGGTATCTGGTAGAGATGTAGAATGTAAATACAATGTATGTACAATGTTCTACCATATGTATAGGTATGAGGATGCCATACGGGACTGTACTCTGGCAATAGACCTGGACCCAACCTACACCAAAGCCTACCACAGAAGAGCCACCGCACGCATGGAGCTGAACAAGCTGGAAGATGCCAAAAGAGGTTGGTTCTGCACTTCTCTGACAAATCTACAGGGGGCAGTCTTACACCTTGGACAAGTGGACAAGTTTACTGCAACTTTCTGCTGCTGTTGCATAATTTACATTTAGAAGCTGGAACATAGTAAATGTTGCTGATTTAAGATTCATACATGTACAAAAAAGATTGCTCATTCATTTGATTTGTTTCCTCAACTTTGACAACTTTCTTCCTGTGCTTGTGCTTCAGATTTTGAGAAGGTCTTGAGTTTGGAGCCATCCAATAAGCAGGCCCAGACTGAGCTGAGAAGAATAAAGAAGGTATGTTGTACTGACTGCTATTAGCAGGACAAGACATTGTCCTCTCTTTTCTGCTGCCTAAGATGATGTACTTGAATACTTATTGTATTAAACTGCTTCTGAATACAGTATATTAGGTCTAGTATCTTGGATTTAAAGAAAAAACAAGGTATAAATCAACAAATAGTGTTATACTGTGCCCCAGAATGATTGGAGTACATGTCAAATCTGTGGTGAATTTTTCAGGCTTTAGAACCAGCCACCAAGCTATCCGAGGAAGCCGTAGAAACCAAGAAACCAAAGCCACAGCCAAAGGACCTGCCTCATGTGGTTCGACCAATCAGCAAGCCTGTGCACTTAAGGTCAAAGGTCAGCAGCTTCTGTGAATGTTCTGTACTTTATACAGCTAAAGTAATTATAACTAGTTTACATGATACAGGTAGTTGTTTTTTTTGTACATTGTAACAGTGAACAGTATTGATTTATGGTAATATTGATACATGATAATATTGAACAGTTTTGATACATACATGTAGTAATATTGCAGAAGTTTTTGGCACTAGCTTGCAGGGCCAAGTTATAAGTAATATGATGTTTCTGTTCTTCTTTGAATGTAGAAACCCCTAAGGAGACTTGAAATAGAGGAAATCGGAGGTGGGGAAGACAGGAAAATGTTTCAGCTGTCCACAAATCTACAGGCAACAGAACCACCTTCATTTTCCTCAGAAGAAACCTCACAAAGACCTGCTGAGAACTTTGAAAAGTTACAAACTGGAGGTGAAGAGAAGACAGCGAGAGAAAATTTGATACAAGAAGTTAATGATTCTCCAAATACGGGTGTTCAACAAGTCAATGTAAATAGGTCAGTTCAATTGATTTATTTTTGTTTCAAATCTTTTCGAGAATAACTCATTCATTGCAATGGGTGTATGTAAAATATAAGCAGGTCTTATAAGAACACATTCAACAAAACTTAGGAAAATAGAGCCATTGACAACTTCTCAAGTTATTGCAGTTGTATACTCTGAAATATCTTCAAATCCAATCTAATAAATACTGTGCAACCGAGTCAATCCCAAAGGTGTTGCCCAAAATTTGAACAAACCTTTTCAGTAACAATCATTTTCCACTACAGGACCTCTAATGTAGAAAGAAAAAAGCCCACCAGCCCCAGGGGTCAACCACCTGTAGTGACCTCTGACCCCCCAGCTGTACCAGGTACACCTGTGACATCACTACAGCTGCAGGCAGACTGGAGACGGCTGCACGGCCATCCTCAACTTCTCTATCAGTACTTCAAGGTAGGAGGATGTGTGGGTGAATGAACTTATAGTATTACATAGTTTTGTAATAGCCTGGTTACCCAACCTATGTTAACTGCTGAGTCTCTTTTAGTCTTAAATGGGGTTGTGTGGTACAAAGGCAGAGTGCTCGACAAGAGGTCCCGGGTTCGAGTCCTGACATGCCACCGACCTTGTGCCCGTGGGAAAGGCACCTTACACGACTTTCCTCACTTAACTCAAGTGAAAATGAGTTTTGTCTGTCCTGTATTTGTTTCTATGTGGGAAACAACACCAGCAACAGCTGCCTGTGTTCCACGTGTATTGCACTGTTGCAATTTCAATAAATCACAACCTAAAATGTTGTATCATTTTACCATATTCCTGGCAAGTCTAACAGGTTGCTAACTACTGTATGTTTCCCCCCAGCAAATCCCTCCATCCATGTATGTAAAGCTGTTTCAGCAGTCATTAGAGTCAGACATTCTCAACGGCATCATGGCACTTCTCAGGGACTTCTACTTACCGTAAGTCTAACATTTTTGGGTCTTGGCAAAAAAAGAAAATATGTAGGATACAGAAGTTTTCTTTTACACAACCAAAATTTCTCTCCTAAGTGCTTCAGTGTCTATCAGACATCTTCCTCAGAGCTTCTGACTGGAGTTCTTATTCTCGCTGCGGTTGTGTAAAAGAAAACTCCTATGTCCTACACTTAACCAAACTATTTTCAGACGTAAGAAAATATGTAGGAAGGAATACACGCAAGAAATTGTTTTAAAAGCTTATTGTTATTCTCTCATTTTGCAATTTTTTGTGTGGCACCATTTCATTTTCTACAGGAGTATGAAAAGTACTGTTTTTGAAATCTTTTGTTTTTGTACAGGAACAAAGATGATGTGTACAGTGTGTTGAGCAGCCTGTCTGAAGTGAAGAGATTTAACATGGCCATCATGTTCATGTCTGTTAAGGACAAGCAAGGTTGGTCATTCAGATAATTATGTTTACCAAAGGAAAACATATTGTTTTTGCTCTGTTTCTTCTTCTTCTGTTCCAAACGCTGACTTGGTCAATGACCTGAACCATACCGTCTGTCACCGCGGTAACTGGTGTTGGGTTACATCATGTTGCAATTTTATAGCAGAAGGGATTTAGACTCTTGTCTGACCATATATATGACTATGTTTGAGTAAGAATTAACAGAGCAGACCATATGCAAAGGTACCCATTAATGACATTATGCATTTGCTTTGCAAATGTTACCTTTCTAGTATTTTTTCTGCTTTCTGTGATGTACCATAAAGCATGATACTAATTTGTTTGTTTGTTTGTTTTCCAGTTGTCTTTGAAGTATTCAAGGGCTTGAAGTTGTTGGGTCATCAGTCACAACAGGATATTGATGCACTGTGTAAGAAGTATGAAGTAAACCTATGACACAGAATATACAGTTCTACCCTCAATGGATAGTCAAACATTCTGAGCCCAAAAGCCCTGGTCATATGCATCATGCGATGGACCTATATGATGCAGGGTTTTTCTCAACAATCGTGCCGTATGTTGTGGATTTGGAAAAAAAACAACAACTGCAGGGCTTAAAAAATAACAACTGCAGGGCTTCAGAGAGGTACCAAAAATGCTGAATTTAAGGATACTGGTGCAATCTCAGCAAACTTGTGCACAAAGAGAAATGTACCAGGCATTTGCTGATTGCAAGATGGGATTGGTAACCTGCCATGAGTGGTCATGCACTGAAAATATATAGCTATATTTTTGCTGTCTACATTTCAGTTTAAAACTGACAATGCTGTAAAAAAAGACTTTTCGATGCTCTGTATATTGTGTGTGTGTGTGTCCATATATTGGGGGCTTTGCCTGTATTCCAGTGTTTTGTAAGATGGTCCGTCCATAGTGTAGTCTAGGATTGTTTCTTCATAAACTTAGAATTGTATTCAGTTTATGGCTTGGAGATGTTGCAAAATTCAGAGCTGGTACATTATATATTTCTTTGTATATTCAGACATTCTGTAACTTTCATACACAAACATACATAATTCCTCTGTTCATATTAGCCAGTGGACATAATTTCTGTCATAGCTATATTATTTTTCATGAATAAATAAAGACTCAATACATAAATATGTGTGTGCATGTGTGTAGTTTTTGTAAAATGATATGTCTAGCATCTTGCAAGTTCATAAGTAATCAATTAAAAATTACAGCAATTCAAAATTAGATCTGTAGTGGTGTGCAGCAAAAAAAGTGATGTAAAGGTTTCTCACAATCTGCTACAAACTGACATTAGATAATACATGTACCAGGATTGAAAAGCATAAGAAATGTTTCTTTGCAGTGCACTAGTCTTTGAAGAATTTGAGAGTCTTTTGGACAATGAACTTTTGGGCTATGATCTAATACATCTAACCTCAGTATATAGTGTATATAGTCAAACTTGTATAAGAAGACCACCCTGGGCACCTAAGGAATCTGGTCTTCTTAGACAAGTGGTCTTCTTATCCAAAAAGGAGCCAGGTGACAAGAAAACAAAGACACCGATTTCGAAGTTCAATATTTAACACGTTAATTATACTATTTATAGATAAGCAGTAATTATTAGCAAGGATGTTTAATACTAACCATCACATTTGTACAAGAGTTTTTTAAATGATAAACATCGATTAATTTCTATATATTGTTACCAATGTAACGTTACAGCTAGCAAATGTATAGTAAAAACTGCAACATGTAAAATATACGTTGTTTATGTAGTACAATGTACAGTGTACTTTAACTTGTTTAACCTGTCTTTCCGCCTGCGGGCGCCATTTTGAAAAACAGAAACACATTTTTCAGGCCAAATTTCTTGAATTATACAAGACCCGGCATATGGATTTCTATTCAATCCTCCTCCAACTGCGCACTTTTAATCAGATCATGAAGGTAGAATTTCAAATTAAAATTGAACTCTGACCTAGAACATGAATCTGTGTATGCGGACGTGGTCGGAAACATGTGAGTCCGGACCTCACGGAAGACACCTGTCCACGACAGGTGTCTTCGGTGAGGTCCGGACTCACATCAGACAGATCAGAAAGCTCTATTACTGGTGCTTATGATAATAATGGTCTGAGGACTATTTAAACTAAAAAAAAGTCATTGCAAGGAGGTTATACTTATATGGAGAGTACAACGACGAGAAATGAGTTGAACCACGAGAAATGAGTTGAACCACGAGAAATGAGTTGAACGACGAGAAATGAGTTTGTTAATTCTGGTGAGTACATGTATATGGCCACGAATAACGAAAATTTGGCGCATATTTATGTTTTACAAGTAATACAAGACCCGGCATATGGATTTCTATTCAATCCTCCTCCAACTGCGCACTTTTAATCAGATCATGAAGGTAGAATTTCAAATTAAGATTGAACTCTGACCGAGAACATGAATCTGTGTATGCGGACGTGGTCGGAAACATGTGAGTCCGGACCTCACCGAAGACACCTGTCCGAAGACCTGTCCACTATTAGTATCCTGAAATACTGGTCTATCTCTGCTGTGAACAGATTTGCTCTTTGATGAATTTTCGTAAAGCTACAAGCAATTCATTTGGCCCCATTTTTCGGCCATGCCCAAAACCCCCATTGGAATATGCGGTATTGCAATGATAAGGTTGATTTAGGGATTTACACTGTAAAATGGACATAATCTTTTATACACGTCTGTTGAGTACCTTTCCGTGGTACCACCACTTCCTTTTTTATCGGTTGCACCCAATCGTTTTGTAGAAAAGTCAACTTATATTTTGAAAAGTTGTGAGAGATCTATGCTTTCATGAAGAAATTTCAATTGAAAATAACTCAATGACTAATCATGACATCAGCGCCAGCTGGTGTGTTGCGCCAGCTGGTGTGTTACGCCAGCAAACTAATATTTGCATACAAGCTTGATTGGTCCACTAAAGAGCTTTAATTGGTCCACTTATGGACCAATGGCAAGGCGACAGCTGTCACTGTATGACCAATGACAAGGCGAAAATTTATCAATCCTAAAATTTGCATACCAGCTGCAGCCCCCTATATAAGACCGGCGTAAACAAAGCCTTTTCATTTTAGCAACATGGACATACAAGATCTGGCTTTAACGTTTTTCCTTGTGATTTATATAATTGTTGCATCGCGATGCTTTTATTTAGCTGCTGCCATTGCGGGAAGATGTTGTATATGTCAGCAAGGTATATACGTATACGATGCACGGACCACTTGTGCAAATAATATGCACTCATACCATATTCGCTGCATTGTTAATTCTGGTGAGAAGTGCCCAGAATGCGGGGCCTCCCTGCCCCGGGACACATACATGTTTTTGTTCCTACTGGCTTTGGCTCTCTGTTGGCTACCTAGGAGACGATGAGCCATCGCACGACGAGAAACGTAGTATAGTATAAAATGTTGGCAATATACTTAGTCTGGTAATGTATGTCACAATTAGTTTATTACAATGTACAAATGAGATCTACATTGTAGATCTCATAAAAATATAGGTTAATACATAGTTAATGTTGGATTAAGTTCCTGTATCCTGTATGTATATTGAACGACGAGAATCAAGTTGAAGGAAGAGATTCGAGTTGAACGAGGAGAAACAAGTTGATCGAGGAGAAACGAGTTGCAAGGATAGTTGTAATAGTATTGGTGAAGTGTACAAAATATCTCAGGCCTCCATCAAGTTGATCGAAGAGAAACGAGTTGATCGAAGAGAACCGAGTTGATCGAAGAGAATCGAGTTGATCGAAGAGAATAGACCCATTCGACTTTCACAGATCGCATAAACTGGTTACGTCACAGGGGGGACATTTCGAATAGAAACTACGTCACAGGGGGGACATTTCGAAAGTTCCTTTCACGGATCGCATAAACTGCATACGTCACAGAACAAAATAATCTTAAATTGTTGTACAGAATGCCACCATACAAAGTTGGTGTCTGTTTTCCTGTCACTTCCTCATATATTACCGAGAAAATAGACACCTACCTTTTAGTAAAAAAATGATCTGCCAGGGGGGGACACCGAGAGCGCAAGCCACGTTCGACTTCAGCGTTCTAGCATGGTGCTAAGTACAATGGTGGGGAAACACAATGCTTAATGGGAATTTAGGCTTGTTACAAAATGGCCGCCAAGGAAGATGGCGGCTCATGAAGTACATGTTGGAAAACAGATCACAGTTCACCAGGATGACCACGCAAGACTACATACCAGGTACGTACAGACGTAGGATACATTGGTGCTTCATCTTTCATGTGACTTGTACTTATAGAAGAGCCGATTGCCCTGTTTCTGAACCTTTCGTCCTGGGAAACTGCAGTTTGTGCCCTCTGACGACATTAAAATTTGATCTGTGATAGTATGGTAGTTCGAAATCGCATTTGAAGTACTGATTTAATTACTACTATATGGGCCCTTTTAACACTGAAAACCTGAAAATAATCGGTGGAACCGATGTCGAGAAATTGAATCCACAATGTATTTGCCCCCCTCCCACCCACTGAACAAAGTGTGTTTGGTTCAAGCGCTGGCATAAATTCAAAAATTTGACACGATCTTTTTGAAAGTAGGATAAAACTTCAATACATATATCAAACCAACATATTCCGGAATATGAAAGAAATCAGGACTTTTGATCCAGAAATAGAGACTGTCAAAGTTGCTTCAAATTTGGGCAGCCATTTTGTTTACACCATGTGAACTTCAAGCACTGGCATAAATTATAAAACTTCAACTGATGTTCTGCAAAGTGAAATCAAACATGACTACATACATCACTCCAACACATTCTGGAATATTAAGGAGATGCCAACTTCTTATTTAGAAATATAGACTGTCAAACTTACCTAAAATTTAGTCAGCCATGTTGTTTACAGTGTGTGAACTTTAAGTGCTGGCATAAATTCAAAAAAATCAACTAATCTTGTTTAAAATGAAATGAAACACAGCAAAATATATCCCCCCAAACTATTCCAGGATATGGAAGAGATCCAGGTATTTGATGAAGAAATATAGACTGTCAAAAGTTACCTAACATTTTGGCGGCCATCTTGTTTACATTCCTCAACTTCAAGTGCTGGCATAAATTTTAAAAAATCAACTGATCTTCTTCAAAGTCAAATAAAACTTAAGTACATATACCCCCTTAAATTATATCAGGATGTTGAACAGATCTGTTTATATGATCTAGAAATATTAATTTTCAAAGTTACCTAACATTTTGGCGGCCATCTTGTTTACATTCCTCAACTTCAAGTGCTGGCATAAATTTAAAAAAATCAACTGATCTTCTTCAAAGTCAAATAAAACTTAAGTACATATACCCCCTTAAATTATATCAGGATGTTGAACAGATCTGTTTATATGATCTAGAAATATTAATTTTCAAAGTT